CCCAGACTAACACACAGATGATATAATTCAATACATGGAAAACCCCAAAGAGTTGACTAAAAAAATTGTTGGAACTAATTTAAAGATTCAGAGAAGTGGCAAGGGCCCAAGAGCAACATATAAAGATCAGCTGGATTCCTGTATATCAATGAAGAAAGCTTTGAAAAGGAAATCACAAAAATAATACCATTGACACTAGCCGCCCCAAGATGAAATACTTATGAAATAAGCCAAACAAGATAAATAAGAGACCTGTAGAAAAGAAAACTGAAATACTGCTATAAGAAGCCAAAGTAAATCTATATGAATGGAAGAATATGCCACGCTCGTGAATAGAAAGACTTTGATTACTGTGAAAATGCCAACACTATCCAAAGTGATCTATAGATAGCATGCAATCCTGATCCAGATTCCAATATCATTCTTCAAAGAACTGGAAAAACTAATCACCAGCTTTCCATGGAAAGGGGCAGCAGATGAGAAAAGCACTACTAGAATAGAATGGAGGAGGAGGCCTCTCATGTCCCAATCTCAAATCCTACTACACAGCCATAGCAATCACTGTCACTGTCAGTGACAGTGTCAAGACAACAGACAGTAGAACAGAACTGACTGTGAAAAGGCATACAGTGCTGTGGAATACAGCTATGCTTACAATGAGAAGAAGAGGGCTTCCAGAACACTTCCCTGTGTTCATGTGGAGCCTGTACACGGACCAAGAGACATTATCAGCAAAGGCTTGCTTCAGGCTTTTATCCTTACACCATGCGTATTCAGTCCGTATGCTGAGCAAATAATCTGAGAAGCTGGACATAAGAAGAGCATGGCATTAGGATTTGAGAAAAGTTTATTAAATATCTGCCATATGCACATGGCACAATCCTGGTTGCTAAATGCAAGCTACTTAAAGAACTTGCTTATCAAAAATCAAAGACTGTAGGTTTCCATAAGGATTGCAACTCGATGTAATGCAAATGAAATTCCTTGCAACGGGACCAATAGGTTGCAACATCATGATAAAGAGAGAAAAGAATTGTTAAGGATTTAATCTTGCTTAGAATCATAATCAATGCTCATGGAAGAAGCAATCAAAAAGCTAAACATCATACTGCATTGATGAGACTTTATCTCGTGTACTTTGGCCAGGTTATCAGGAGAGAGCAGCCCCTGGAGGACACGATGCTTGGTAAAATGGAGGGGCAGTGAAAAATGAGGAAGGTCCTCGATGAGATGGTCTGACACAGTGGCTACAACAATGGGCTCAAACCAAGAACAAGTGGGAGGATGGCGCAGGCCCAGGCAGTGTCATTCCATTGTACAAAGGGTTGCTATGAATCAGAACCGACTTGACAGCACCTAACACAACAGTGTGTTGGGAAAACCTGCACAAGACACTTTTCAAGTGCTGGAGAGCAAAGATGTCAATAAGGTGTACCTGACCCAAGCAGGGGCATTTTCAATTGCCTTGTGCACCACAAGTTAGATCATGAGTAAGGAAGAATGCAGAAGAATTGAAGCATTGAACTTATGGTGTTGGTGAAACATATATAAAGTACTGCTAGAAAAAAACAAATCTGTTTGGCAAGAAGTACAAGCCAGAATACTTCTTAGAATAAAGGACAGTGAGATTTCATCCAACATACGGGAATGCTGTCATGAGAGACCAGAAGAAGGAAAAGGCCATCGTGCTTGGTAAAGGGTCAGCCAGAAGAGGAAAGGAAGACCCTCACATGACAGATGGACACAAGGGCTGCAACAATGGACTAAGACATAACGATACTAGGAGGCAGGCACACGGCTGGGCAGGTTTCTTTCTGTTGCTCGTGGGGCTACCATGAGTTGGAACTGACTCACTGGCACCTAACAACAACAGATTGCTGAGCTTCAACAAGGTGAAAACCATAAATGGGGACGGTGAGTTTCTTTAACAAACGGTGTTGGCTACACTGGATATCCATTGTATCTTCATCCAGAAGAATGAAATAGGACCCACACTTCACTCCATGTATAAAAATGAACTCAAAATCGATCAAAGATCTAAATGTAAAACCTACAGCTAAAAAGATCATCAATGAAAACATAAGGAAAAATTTAGGTACCTTAATATATGGCATAAACACACTATCAACCATAAAGGAAAATATGAGATGATCGGGGCCTCCTAAAAATTAGACACTTAGGTGCATCAAAAGCTTGCACCAAAGACTGGAAAAGGACCCGCACACCAGAGAAACCATTTTGGCAATAGCCTATCAAACAATAGACAATATGACCAGACACTTCAACAAAGATCACATGCAAGCTGCCAATAAATTTACAATGAAATGCTTGTGATCAACAACCATTTGAGATACAAATCAAAACAACAAGATGCCAATCGTACAGAGGTCCCCCACGCGAGCATGTACCAGCTTCTGACTTGGGCCTCAGTGGAGGTTTCCCGTAGGCTGCAGGGCCTGAACCGTTTGGTGCAGGCCAGGCCTGATGGAGGCTTGGGTCCCAAGGCCATTGCTGCTGGTGGGCAGCACTTGCACGGTTCTCAAGGTCTACTGCAACAGAGGGCAGCCGATGAATTATCCAGCTGCTGAAGCGAGCCAAGTTATGTATCACGAGATGAGTCTGAAAAGGATGAGCTAATTTTGTATGGTGCTGTCGTGACTATCACAGTGGTAACAAGGCCATCATCTACACTTATGAGTTGATGACCAACTTAGCATTTAAATGTGATGAACCTGAAAGTGTGGAAAAACTTTTTCAAGCAAGAAGCCATCTGCTTGGAGAGGTCATGAAGCAGGAAGACTATGCAATGACTGAAATCTTAAAACTGGCCAGTATCTATGCGGAAAAGGGCATCAGAGCTGACAAGACAGACAAAACACTCCGCGCTAGACATGGTGTTCAATAATGTAGCTGCAGTTCTGATGCACAGAGAATTATATTCACAAGCCAAAGCGAACTACCAGGGAGGAATGCAGCACGCAGAGCCCCAAAGAAAGGAGGTTTCCATGCAACACATCAGAGAAGAGTGGCCTGAGCTGCAAAAAAAAAAAAAAAAGGCAAACCCTTGATTTAATCTTATCAAGCGCTAAATGAATACTTATTATCGGAATAATTTAACCCAGAGAACTAGCTATTATTCCATTCTCACTGGCATCTAAATCAGTGGCTGCAATCCTCTGTCCTTGACACTCAAGTTTCCACAATTTCTCCTTGGTGAAGGACAACCTGTATACATTACTACTCTTCTTTCTTTAATGAAAATTAAACTTTCCTTTCTCATCTCTAGTGGACTTTAATGCCGATGATGAATGTCAAGTGGTGCTAGGCGCTAGCCATGCTGATCTAACGCAACTGTAGATTAAGCATGGGCCCTCTTTTCCTCTGTGAGCAGAGGGTTGTGGGATGATTCAATCTGGTATGTCTGCCAAACACTCTGATCCACAGATGTGTAGTTCTCTCCTCTACCGTATCTGTTGGACAGGAGCTACCGATCTCGTGGAAAAGGGAAATTATGGTGAATTGTTTTCAGGATTTACTTCTTGAAACCCACTGTGGGTTATTTCTCATAAAGAAGGCAAAAAGCTTTCTTTGACACCACATTCATCATGAAGTTTTAAAGCAGGAACTAAGCACTTTGTAGCAATTATTTGATCATAAATAAAAGTGACCTGTGTTTTCATTAAAAAATGAAACAAGAAAATGAGCTACCACCTCACCTCCGCATTCACAGCAAAGTTCAGCCAAATGCTGGCAATAGTGTGGCGAGACTAGAACCTGCCTACACTGCTAGTGGGCATGCAGTACGGTGCCACCACTGTGCAAAGTGTTAAGGCTCTGCCTCAAGGAAACTGGGAGCATAAATCCCTTAGGGGCCAGGGACCCTCTACTTGGTACACAGCCTAGAGGAAGAAGAGCCGCCCAATGAGTGTGCATGTGCACAACCAGTTCCTCACAGCATTGCTCACAAAAGTCCAAAGATGGAAACTATCTAAATGCCCAACATTTGGCACATACACAAAAGGGAATCCTATACAAAATTAAAGAATAATAATGAATCTAAGAAGCACCTTACAACATGAGAACATTATGCTGAGTCCAATTAGTCACAAAAGGGCAAACATTGTAAGACCAAACTCAAAACCTAAAATTCAACACCACTGAGTAGATTCTAACTCCGAGCAACTCCATGGACAGAGTAAAACTGCCCTGCGGTGGTCCGATACAATCACACTTTATGGGCAGCGGCGGGAAGCTCATCACTCTCCCATGGAACAGTTGGTGGGTTCCCTACTTACCTCCTGGTTAACAGCCTAATACGTAGCCCACCCATCCTCAAACTAGGGGTTCCTGTGTACAAAATCACTAATGTAAACATCAAGAAAAGGCTTTCACACTAAAGAAATCATTCACTGATGGTGTGGCAAAGTGGAATTTCTGCATCTAGCTCTTCTATCCATGTCTGTAACACCCATCAAATAACTGGGTTGAGACGATGCAAACAGGGTGTGTGAAACACCGATAGAGCGATTGATCAGTTTCCTCTGTGTATAAGAGAGCCAGCCCTCTTGCTCAGAAGCAAAAAACAAGAGAATTCCTGGGGTCAGTAGTGAGACATCTTAAATCCCTGCCTGAAGTGGCAGAGGCAGAAGCCATGCCACACTGACACCAGAGGACCAGAGCAGAAGAGCCACAGTTCTGAGACCCAAGACTACGAGGCAGAGGAGCAGGTGGGCTTCCTGGCCTGTGGAACAAAGCAGGGAACAAAGGACCATGTGGCTATGGGGCTGAGGACCAAAGACAGACATGGCTGCTGGCTGAGAAGCAGCACGTCTGTGGGCCAATATCTGAATCCTTACTGTTTACTGATCCTGCCTTCAACACTGTCTATGAGGTGTGTGTCGCCATTGTAGGGGGTTATCGAACTCAGCAGGGTAACAGAGTGTGGTGGGAGGAAACACTATTGTCACAACGGAGAAAAGAAAGATAGAGGTTGTACACATATGTGCCCTCTGCCTTGTGACCACTGCCCTTGGGCTGGTGTGAAGATGGACTCTCCTTCTCCCTTGGGCAGCCAAAGGAGACCATATGTACCTCCCACACACACCCAGACCATTTTCTTAGGTTACCAGTAGAGGGAGGGGAAGTCCGGGGCTAAATTGGGTAGCCCAGTGTTAACTTTAGTGAAGGGAAAAGCACTATACAATAAGAGGAAGGTTAGGAAAAAATGGCAGACCCACAAGAAGACACTGCGAGGTTTGTAAATTAAAGCAACAGAGGCAAATACTGTCATACACGCAATCCGGCAATAGTGCAAATTCAGACTTGGATAGATAAGCAGGTTCAAGAGGTGGGGAAAGAACAGTGGGACTATTCTCATGAAAATACAGAGGTATGGAGCCCTGTTGGTATAGTGTTCATATGGTGTGCTGATAACAGCAAGGTCAGCAGCTCAAAACCACCAACAGCTCCTTGGGACAAAGAAGAGGCTTTCTACTTCCCTTAAGAGCTATAGTCTTGGATAAAAATGAACTCAAAATCGATCAAAGATCTAAATGTAAAACCTACAGCTAAAAAGATCATCAATGAAAACATAAGGAAAAATTTAGGTACCTTAATATATGGCATAAACACAC